ACTCCTGACATGCTGGGATTCTGTGAAAACAAGACCCAAAGGTGAAGCCCCTTTCAGAGCACGCAGCGCACGTGGCTGTTCGCGTATGTATCCTCTCTAACACACTCCAACTGTTCTTCTTACTAAATCACTGCCACCCACATTTGACTTTCTTTCCACCTGGTCTGCTGCAGAAAGACAGATGCCTTCAAAATGTAAAGGCACAGCATGAAGAAAACAAAGACTTGGCAATTTGCATGCAGACAGGCTCTGATTCTCCTTGGCTGGAGGGAAACACCAGAAAGAATAAATACCCGCAAAAATGTCAGGCCTCAGAAAGGAAAGGAATGAGTTTCAGAGGAGTTGAAAATAGAAGCTGAGGCAACCTTAGGACCTATCCCTCTTGGATCGTAGTCGTTCTCAAGGCTGAAAGGGTTGTCAGGATATCTTCAGCATTTAAATAAAATATATCTGGATTTACAAGGCTTGCAGAGTTTGCACAGATGGGTGACTGTCACCCGTCTGTCATGGATGAAGAGTCTATTTCATGGAAAGGTAAAAGAAAAAGTTGCCCAAAGTGAAATAATGCTTATGAGCAAGCAATAGATCTCAGATCTCCTGATCCAAGCTGTAGATTAGCCCCTGTATTATTTGATAATGTTCAAAATGTTTTTGTGACAGTAAATATGGCAATAAACTGTTGCCAAGAGCCTGTGGAAGGACATGGTGTAAATTAGAGAGGTCAAGGTGAGGCCTTGTACATTCTTTTTAGTACTTTGGGGTTTTTTGTTCTTGTCATATAGCTACAACCATTCCATTACGTGATCCCAATTGTTAGCCTGAAGTCTTAAAGACATCATGGCAGATGCTCATCTCCAGAAGGACTGTGAGGAAATGGTAATGTGGCTTTTGAGCCCAGCAATTTTATGGGACAAATCAGCAAGAGAGAAATTCTTGAGGAATATTAAAAAAATCCTTTTTGGCGCAGTAGCCTTAAAAGTAAAATACATGTTGAATGCTGAGTTCACTTCATTATTTATAAACAAATAACTGTGCATTTGTGCATTTAACTTGCATATTCTGTGGGCCTTTGTACTCAGCTTTTCCCTTGCTGTGTTTTTTTGCTCTGTCTACAAAATAAATGTTACAGGTAGTGGCTGAAAGGTAAATCTTTCTTTGTCGCATACTTACTTGTTTATTTAATACCTGTGTTTGGTAACATGGAAAGAAAATTTCCTAGCTGAATGTATGGGGAAGGGAATGAAAGGTCGTGTCCATTGTGAAGTGTTAAAGTTTAACAGTAAAGCTTGTCTTTCAGGTTTAGAAGGAAGGTAGGTTTTGGTAAAAGCTGCTTTTAATGAGGTTTTGTAGTGCTGGAAACTGGAACTGAAGAGATCCTGCAAATAAATCCTGGCTTTGCCCCCTGTGTCTGTGGTCACTGTCCTTTGCTGTAGGGTTTTCTTTGTGTTTTGCTTTACATTTATTTTTCCTGCCAGGAATGCATACACTAATTGTTGCTTTTTTTGTACAGTCTGGTGCCCTGGAGATATAAAATATCACGAATAAACTGGATCTTGAAGTCTGTGTGTGCAGTTTGGCTTCAATAGCCCTGCTGTTGGAGTATTGTGTTCTGCTATGTTTTATCCCGGTAATTGGAACAGAGCTATTTTTATGACACACTCCTACTCAGTCCAAATGAGAGTATCAAAATCTGACATGAAGTTGTGCTTCTGCAGAACTTGTGTTAGAGAGTCACAGGGAGCTCTGGCCAAGCAAGGATGGGAGAGAGCTGGAGTGGGCCTTCAGGGGTTTTTTTAGACAAATTTTTGCATTTTTCAGTTGCAACAAGGTGTTACACTGCTTGTAGAAGAGCTGTGTTCCCTTGGCTGTGGGAGGGGGTGCTGAGATGGGGAAGGCACCAGTTGGCTCATTTCCTGATGGTCAAAGTCATCTAATTACATTTTCACTCCCTTCTCATTCAACCAGTCTTGTAACTGCGCTCTACCTGCTGGATCCCACAGTTACTTGTTATGGGGTGGGGGCAGTTTGTTTCACAACCAAAATAACTGAGCACAGCTGTTGATGGGATACAGCCTGCAGGTGGCTGCAATTCAGATGACAGCTCAACAAGTGACTGCTAATAATCAGTAGAGATGTTACTCAAATAACTCTTTCTCCACATTTCCTGGTTTTTATTGCCTGAATTTTCACCTATCTTCTTGTAATGTTTTAAGGGACCAAATGAGTCGCTGTGTTCAGGTGAATGCTGTAAAGAAGAGTGTGAAAGGCAATGGTTGCATTGAAGCAAAGCCAATGAAATGTGTCCTGACAAAGCTCAAAATGATGTTTCTGTGTATTCTTCAATGCCATCTACCGGCATGATTACCTATTAGAGATCTATAGGCCAAGAACATTCTCCTAATAGGCAGCGACTTACAGGAATTTCTCTTTTCTTTTCTTTTAGGAGCAAGGCAAGATCGGTGTAGTCTTCAACATTGGCACAGTGGACATCTCTATTAAAGAGGAAAGCACACCTGTAAATGATGGCAAATACCATGTGGTACGCTTCACCAGGAATGGTGGCAATGCCACGCTCCAGGTTGACAGCTGGCCAGTGAACGAACACTACCCAACAGGTACATACCTTTTCCCCTTTGATTTTTCTCTTTCAGTGACTCTATACATACAAATTAGTGTTTAATAACAACTGGTTGCTATATAAATCTTAGTTGCTTCATCTCAACAATAAATTGTCCAGCCTGGTGGTGCATATTCTGTCTGTTGAAAAACAAAGTAATGGTCCTTTAAACTGGAAGAATAAACATGCCAACCGTGTGGTATGATGTACAGAGATCCTGCTATTTCAGAGGTCTGTAAGTGAATCCTGCTTCTGCAGAGAGTTACAAGCTGATTCAACAATAAACTTGGTTTTGCTACTTGTGATATTTACTAAGTATTTAAGGGAGAAAAATTTTGAAGCGACCTTTCGAAAAGAGGAGTTGACTCTAGGCACACCTGAGATACTGTCTACATAGATGGAGAGTTGAAATATAGGGAATGTGGAAGATTAAGTTGCAACAGACCTTATGCTTGCCTTGTAATTTGTCATCATCTGAATTTCACTCTCTCTTTTAGGTTTGCAGATATAAAGGTTGACGTATTTGAACAGACCTTATGCTTGCCTCGTAATTTGTCATCATCTGAATTTCACTGTCTCTTTTAGGTTTGCAGATATAAAGGTTGACACAATTTACCCAAGATTGTCAGCTCTTAGTTGACTTTTGGTCAAAATGCACAATTTACCCAAGATTATCAGCTCTTAGTTGACTTTTGGTCAAAATGCAGTGGAACAATTCAGCATCTCTTTGGAAATCATCACCCTAAATCCAATAGGAATAGTGAACAGCTGGCTTTTGAGTCACTGTCCCATGTTTTATCCCATCGCTGGCAAATCACAACCTTGTGGTACTATGTCACCATGCTAGAAGGTCAGACTCCAAGTGAAAAGCAGATTGCTGTATGTGGTGCATAGGAGAGCTGAGACTTGATGATGTGTGTTGTTACAAAAGGCAGGAGGAGCACAAGGGAAGAATTCCAAGACTTACCAAGTTCTTCTTATTTGTACGTTGTTTTCTGAGATCACTCTATGGTCTTCTTGTTGGTGTCTAGTATTAAGTCTAAGCAACTTCCAGTTCTTCCTATGTCATTCTTAGGGACATGGTCTAGTGGCAGACTTTGGGCTGGTTCAGTGGTTGGACTCGATGATCTTAAAGGTCTTCTCCAACCAAAACCATTCTATGATTCTATGATGATTCTGTGATTCTTTGTACCTAGCTGACCTGGGGCAGAAGGAAGAATTCTGTGATAAACATGAGGCAATTTGCTAGGTGTAAAGTAGTTGCTTACAAGCCATTTAAGCTCAAATTGTGAGAAATACCCTAATTTTTAATGCAGTATTACGCTAATAAATTACTCCAAAGGGATAATTTAATCTCTTCCACTCACTCAGAAAGTGCACAAGAAAGTTTTTAATATGAGTGATCTGTCCTCAGCTGCTTTCTACCACATAGTCACCTGTCAGTGTTTTGGTGATGTACATTTTAATAATTATTCTTATTTCTGTGAATTAATTGCTTTTGAAGAATGCCACGACAGACATGTGGAGTTAGATTCTACCTCTGCTATCCACTGGTTAAAGAGAAAAGTGTGGCAAGGAGAGACCCAAACTTGAGCATCTTTCTTCTGCTCCTTTCATCAATTATTTTGTGGTAAAATACCTCTGATCCAGTTGGCAGCCAATTATAGTCAGTAAAAACCCCATGAATAAATTTTCTTCTTATATTACTTGCTGTAGTAAGTCCCTGGTGTAAAGAAACAAAATATGCAGCTCAGTGCTTTAGAGATTTTTTTTTTCTAAAAGGGAAAATAAATCACACTCAGAGGCTACCTCAGTACCCTCTGTTTCTGTCTTGGCTAAAGATATTCTTGTGTTTTCATTAGAAGATGTATGGCTTTATAGAATGAACATTAATCTTATGTTCTGGGCTAGTACTGAGTATATGCAGTTGTACCCCAAGAGAAAAGGACGCCGTTATATTCCAGACACCTTTTCCTTTCCATGCACGTATTTCAATTTCTGACTGTTTGTAGATGATGAAGTTTTCAGCCTGTCCTTGTGAAAATAAGACTTATGGGATCATGCTTGGTGTGTGTGCATGTGTCTCCCTTGTTTTTTCCAGTTTCTTTCAAGCCCTTTTTTTAGCTGAATTTTAAAAAGGGGCAAAGGTCCAAAACCAAAAAGCTTCTACATGGCTAGGGAAAATAACCAAGGGAGAAGGGCCATGTTCCAACCCTCCCAGAGGAAAGGACTGTGGCTTGATCTCAATTCGTGTTAAATGCCAGAATATCCATATAATAAAGAGGCATCTTGAAAGCCTCAGGTTCAGGAAAAGCTTCAATGAGAGAAGCCGGTAACTACAGGAAACCAATCCTTATTAGTTCCATTTTCTGGGCAATTAATGGTTTAAAAGAAGACCAAACAGGAGCTTTGGAAATGAATAATCCGTTGTCTTTCACAGCCCAAGCTTGCACTAGCGTCTCTCATACTGACTGCAAGGCCAAACCGGTGTTCAGCAGTTTCAACTCTGTAAAAAGCTTTGTAGTTGGGTTGACCCAGGCTAATCCAGCATGTTTCAGCTGGAACCTGCTGAAACTGCAACTCGTATCAAACTTGGGTGATAATAGCTAAGAGATCCTGTATTTTATGCGTAGGATCACTTCAGTTCTGGAAACACAGTTATTTGTAGTGTTTAAAAGACATCGTATTTGTACCACATGCATGTTTGGGTGTGCTGTGTTGTCTGTAATACGAACAGTATCGCGTGTATGTGATTTTCTGCGCAGTGCTACAGCCTCATGTTTGCCAATTTGATAAACTAGCTGAAGAATCTTCCTTGTCATCACACGTGGTGCAATCGTCAGGCAGCAGGGCTGCGTTCTGAATGGCATTTCCATGCTCCTGTCTGAGTTTTATTACCTGTAGAAGGATTGTACATTAGACTCATAATTACTTGCTCAATGGAAAGTACAAATAAAAGTGGGATATTCATTAAATGAGCGAAGAGAGAGAACATTGGCTTTCCTTAAAACAGTCTCCAGTTAAATTGAAATTAAATGAAACTGGCCCAATGGGACTTAAAGACTCCAAAGCTGTATTTTTGCAACTTCATATAAAAGAAAAGGAAGTGGAAGGAAAGAGGAAAAGCAACAAACTTTACAATTCAGGCACTGACATTTTGGTTTTTATGGCATCCAATTACTTCTCAGCCACCTGCAACGTGAGCTTTATGCTTTCTTGTGAGGAAAAGGGTTAGAGAGAAACGGCAAAGGAGGGAATTAACTTGGAGCTAAGGTTGGCTAAGATTTGGGACTGAAATCATCCCAGTCATTAGGGACGAGGTCTCACCTTTTGTACCATTCCAATCCTGTTTCTCTTTCTGGGCAGTAGGACTCTGAACCTGGTTACAGGTATCGGAGACAAAGCTCCTGAGAGCTGAGTGATAGTAAAGAACAGCATGGTTTAGTCATGGTTTAGTTCAGCCTAAACCATTGAGCTGTTTGTGATTTATTTGTATTAGTTTTGCCCTTTCTCCTTTCCCTCAAGTACACAAGAAGATGGGCTTTTTCCATAGGCTGAACTGTTAGCCAGTTCCTTGATGCTTCATTGATGAAGCTGCTCATCACAATGTATTTCTCAGTCAGGGTATACACCTTTTGCTAACATGTGTATGAATTTCTATGCCCTAAAGTGCAGTTTTCCATGACTGCTGCTCTTCTTTTGTCTCATATGCCTTCACCCTTTGGTGTACATCCCAGATAACAGGTTGCACTTGGTCACTCTTATTTTCTTGTTTTTATGATCTTGCTGAGAGCATTCTCTATACCTAAATATATACTATATATATACACACACACTCTCTCAATATAATATATATATGTATACACTCTCTCTGTATAAGTATATTCTCTATAACTAAATAAATCAAATAAATAGTGTAAATATACACATAGTGTAAATATATGCTAAATAAAATGAGGTAGGAGTCCTTTTGGACCAAGAGTAGGTCAGATAGGAAAGCTAGTTCAGGAAGAGGAAGCATCTGACATGTTTTAGTTTCAGATTACAGTAAAACCCACAGTAGGATGGAAGGATTTAAATTAGGAATCCTGAGGTTTGGGATGGAGTCAGCAATTCTCAGAAGGGTTAAAAACAAATCTGTTGTCTTGACACAGAGCTGGGATACCTCAGTCCCTACGTTTTCATTAATTCTAAGACAGGAGAGTTTTTTCTCTCTCTCCAGTGTCTTTGCTTGCTAAGAAATACTTTGTGTGTTGCCAGATTTGTGGTGTACATGGAAACAAGCCTGATATTCCTATTCATTCATCCATGCACTGATTACATTTTCTGCAGTAGAAAAAGAAACAAAACTAGGTGAAGAGAAGCTGTAAAGAGTATCAGTGACACCAAAATAAACTCTAATTGGAGTAATGTTTTAAAGGAGAAGATTAAAAGAAGGGAGTCAGGAAGGAGTTGTCATTTAAAGATACACATGATTTAGCAAGAGAACTGTAACCTGGATTTTATTCATGCATTGTAAAAATAAGGAATAGGAAAGCATTAAACAACGGAATACTTATCAGGATTCATTAGTTCATCCACCCAATACAGATTTTATATTTTTTCCCTTTATCATTCTCTTGAGTGATCTTTCAGCCTTCTTTTAGGAGTCTCTGCCCTTTCAGATGAGATTAATTTGCAGTTCTATTGGTACTGAATGAAATAAAAAAGATTCTCCGTGCCCCTACTTCATTCTCTCTCTCATGTACACATTTGAGAGGAAGTTGAATTTTAGGAAAACCTGGGCAGTTGTCTCTCGACACCAGAACCCCAGAGACTTTGTGACTGCCCTGGCACATACTGTGGCCTGATAAATGCATACCTAGGAAATGAAAAGTTGGTTCTGCGACCCTGGTACCTGTGCTGGCATTTCCCTTCAGAACAGTTCCAGTCCCAAGGACTGAATGCTCCTGAACAGTTGGGGCATATCATCTGCTTTAATTTCATTTGTAGGAATCC